AGGGGGCTTCTTCCTGCTTTCCCTTTCGCCTCCCTGCATTGTGCCTACATATGCAAATTAACCGCCATCTTGTTGGCAGTTAATTTGCATATAGCCCTGATTAGCCAATGAAAAGGGTAGCGTCGTACGCCAATTACCATTTTTCTCTTTTATTAGTGTAGATGCCTTTTGAAGGCAAATGTTCTTCATTTTGATGAAGTCTAATCCATTTCTCCCTTTTTATAGATCATGATTTTGCTGTTATATATAAAAATTTTTTTTGCCTAACTCAAAGTTTTATATTTTTTTCAGGAAGTTTAATAGTTTCAGGTTTTACATTTAGGCCTATGAACCATTAGGAAATTTTTGCATATTTTGTGTGACTTGAGTTGATCATATGGATATCCAATTGTTCTGGCACCATATATTGAAAAGATTATCCTTTCTCCATTAGTTGCCTTTATATACTTGTCAAAACAAAAGGTGGAATATATGATATGCAGATAATTCAATTCTGTCGTTGTCTTTTTACTTTCCTTAAAAAGACTTTTTTTTTTAAAGTTTTTCAATTAGAGCTTGCATTCAGTATTATTTTGTTATTAGTTTCAGGTGTACAGCATAGTGATTAGACAAAATGTTCCCCCCAATATTTCCAGTATCCTCTGGGCACCATACACAGTTATTACAATATTATTGACTATATTCCCTATGCTGTACTTTACATCCCCATGACTATTTTGTAACTACCAATATGTACTTCTCAATTCCTTCACCTTTTTTACCCGGTCCCCCACACCTCTTCCTCTCCGGCAACCATCAGTCTGTTCCTTGTATCTGTGAGTTTGTTTCTGTTTGTTCATTTATATTGTTCATTAGATTCCACATATATGTGAAATCATATGGATTTGTCTTCCTCTGACTGGCTTATTTCACTTAGCATAATGCTCTCCATTCATACTGTCACAAAAGTAAGGTTTTCTTCTATTTTTATGGCTGAGTAATATTCCATTGTGTAAATGTACCACAGCTTTTTTATCCACTCAACCTATCGATGGGCACTTGGGCAGCTTCCAGTCTTAGTTATTGTAAATAACGCTGCAATGAACATAAGGGTGCATATATTCTTTTGAACTATTAGAAAAAATATTGCTAAGAGAAATGTCAGGGATTTTACTGCCTGTGTTTTCTTCTAGTTTTATGCTTTCAAGTTTTACATTTAAGCCTTTAATCCATTTTGAGTTTATTATTTATATTTTGTATATAATGTAAGATGGTGGTCTAGTTTCTTTTTTTTTCTCTGCATGTATCTGTCCAATTTACCCAACACCATTTATTGATAAGACTGTCTTTACCCCATTGTACATACTGGGGGGAAAGTAGATTTACTAGTACAGTTGTCCAAATGGAAAAATAATACAATAATTAATAAAAAAATAATACAAGAATAGGACTGTGTTTTGCATAGTCACAGCTGTAAACCTTCTTTTTCCCCACCCTATATGTCTTGTCACCTTTGTCAAATATTAATTGACAATATACTAGTAGGTGTGGGTTTGTTTCTGGGCTCTCTATTCTGTGCCATTGGTCTATCTATATATTTTTTATGCCAGTGCCATGCTGTTTTGATTGCTATAGCTTTGTAGTATAGTTTGATTATCAGGTAGCATGATACCTTCAACTTTGTTCTTCTTTCTTAAGATTGCTGTGGCTACTGGGTGTCTTTTGTGATTTCATAAAGATTTTTGGATTAGTATTTTCTCTAGTTCTGTGAAATACACTGTTGACATTTTGATAAGAATTGTGTTGAATCTATAGATTGCTTTGGGGTAGTATAGATATTTTAATGATGTTAATTCTTTCTATCCATGAGCACTGTATAATGCTGCCATTTATTTGTTTCATTTTCTTACTTCAATACTTACAATTTTTCAAGTACAGGGCTTTTACCTCCTTGGTTAAATTTATTCCCAGATTTTTTAGTTATATTTTTTTAGGACGCAATTGTAAATGGGATTGTTTTCTTGTTTTCTCTTTTTGATAGTTCATTATTGGTGTATAAAAATGCAACCAATTTCTGAATATTTATTCTGTATCCTGCTACTTCACTGAGTTCATTTATCAGTTCTAATAGATTTTTGGTGGAATCTTCAGAGTTCTCTATATACGGTATCATGTCATCTGCAAATAACGACAGTGTCAGTTCTTCCTTCCCAGTGTGGATGCCTTTTATTTCTTCTTGCCTGAGTGCTGTGGCTGATTCCAGCACTATGTCCAGTAAGAGTGGTGGAAGTGGACCTCCTGTCCTGTTTCTGATTTTAAGGGAAATGTTTTTAGTTTTCCCCTATTATATCTCACTCCTGTTTTTGTCACCTGGCACCTTCCTCTCTCCTTTCTAAAGATGTCTCCTAACTAGAGCGTTTTTTGGAGTTCCCTGTCACCTGTACCTTCAGCCTTCACCTCCTCATCTCACTTTCTCTTAGTCCTCCCTCAGTGGTCCCCGGTGACTACTAGAGGGTGTCACAGCATGGGTTAATGCTGCAGACAAGACCTCTTTCCTGGGCCATCTCCTCCCTGGTCTGAGGGTCTCTTCCTGTGTACCCTCTCCAGGGAGGCCCTTCCCCATGCATGTCAGCCTCCCCAAACATATCTCTAACCCAGGCCCAGTGCACCCCGGGCTTGCCCAGAGGTCTCTCAGTACCCCGCATTCCCTCTTGCTCTAGTATGAGTCAGTTTATGCTTCCTGTTGCCGGTCCTTCATTCCCGGTCTTGACTACTTATCTCCTCGTTTAGATTGTCAGCTTCTGTAGAGCAGGGGTCTTCTTTCCTGTGGCGAATAGACTGGGTTTTCTGCCACCTGTTTACGTAAAATGATGATAGGATTCTGGGGTGGATGGGGTTTGGGGTGGGTTGTGGGGGCTATGAGTCATCAGCAGTTGGTAGAGCTGATAATCTGAGTTTGCCCCTTCCCTGACGGTACCTGGGAGGTATCCTTTGGCCAGAAAACCAGAATTTACTGTGCAGTCGCGGAGAGGGCAAGATTTCAAGATGGGAAGGAGACAGTCCCCTCCTGTTCATAGACTAGGGCAGACGCGTTCCAGAATGTCTCAGGGAGAGATGGTCCCGCATCCAGCATGGAGTCCACGCAACCTCCAGGCCTGGGCTGGCTGAGGACCCTGCATGGTCTGGACCACCTCAGAGCCGGGGTGGGGGAAAGCCTCACGCACAACACAGCCCTGAGTCAAAGCAGGACCTCTGTCCTAGAGACAAAGCGGCCCTGGGAGAAGAGTGAGGGGGTGGCCTGCTGGGCCACTGCCAGGCGGCTGGTGCCCAGAGGAAGTCTTTTGAGATCGAAATGGACAAGAGGACTAGGGACCACAGTGCAAGGGGCAGGGCCGGCCTGGGCTTTCCTTCTGCAGTTGAGTCTGACATTAAATTTTCGAGGCCTAGAAGTCCGAGCGTTTGTGTGGCCTGTGTGGCCTGAGGAGAGAGCAGGACCAGGATAGCTTACCCACATACCCCAGGACTGAACCTGCCAAAAGAAATCTTGGCTAAACAGCACCTTTGTCGGTATCTAAAATGTACCATGTCAACTTGCTTTTGTGGCTTGTGTTGTGTTTTGTTTCCCCGTAGCTTTTCAGTCAATAATCTTTTCAAAAGAATTCCAACCTTGTCCCTGTGACCCGAGGGGCAGTGGTATTTTTCCACAGGCACATCCCAGGCAGCACAGAGAAGGGCATCCGTGAGGGGCAGGGGATGGTGGGGGGTGCTCGCCAGCCGGTGTGGTGGGGTGCCGGGGGCCTTGGTGCTGGTGCAGAGGAAGAATGGAAGCCTAGGGAGAGGAGACGAGACCCCCTGTGGGTACTGATCGCCAGGGACCTTTTCCTTCTCTCATTAGCACAGTGCTGGGAGCTCACGGTGAGCGTCAGTACTTGTTTCATTGCCGCTGATCCCTGGGGAGTAATGAGCTAGGACTTCTCTGCAAAAGGGCAGCCCTTTGTTCATGCTGGATGCTATCACACTTTCTAAAACTGAAGTCCCGCCACCCTCATGGAGCCTTCCTTGCAGGCTCCTGCACCCCCAGCACACACCCAGGCAGTCACAGAATCCCCAGTGCACCTAACCTTTCCACCTTTGGTACTATGGACACGTTTAGCGTGCTCGGTGCCCCTAGGGCCATATGCCATCACAGGCCATCACAGGCTGTGGGCTCTGAGGACATCAGAGAGCCCGACCAACAATGCCTGGCTGCTGCCAGCTTCCTTGGCATCTGTCTGCTGGCATTTGAGTGTGTGTTTGCTAAGATGGGGCCTGGGAGCCTCATGCTCTGGGGCTCCAATGACTGGTGTCGGCTCCAGGCCTGAGCATGGTGTCCTTCCTCATCTCTCCCTCTGCAGCTCGTCTCCAATGTCCTCATTTTCTCCTGCACCAACATCGTGGGCGTCTGCACCCACTACCCGGCCGAGGTCTCCCAGAGACAAGCCTTCCAGGAGACCCGGGAGTGCATCCAGGCGCGACTCCACTCTCAGCGGGAGAACCAGCAGCAGGTGAGTGAGCGCCTGCCTCTGCACAGCTGGCGGGGAGCAGACTCCAGACTGACCTCCCCACCAGCTGTGCTCCAACAGCTGCCCAGCCCCACCTCCCTGGGTGGGGGCCCAGCCCGGGAATGTTTCTCCTGGAGGGCGCCCACATTCCTGGCTCTGTGGGAATGCTCTAGGAGAGCCTGAAGGAAGGGCTCTACCCCCAGTGCTGGCCCACTGTCTCTTCAGCCCCCCCTGGGATTTTGCAAATAAGCCGGGCAGTCCAGGTCTGGCAGCAGGGAGGCACCCTCTCCTCCTCCTCCCCTTCCCCAGAGGCTAATGAGGTGGATCAGGGGTCCTCAGACTTTTTAAACAGGGGGCCAGTTCACTGTCCCTCAGACCGTTGGAGGGCGGGACTATAGTTTAAAAAAACCTATGAACAAATTCCTATGCACACTGCACATATCTTATTTCGAAGTAAAAAAACAAAACGGGAACAAATACAATATTTGTATTTGCATGTGGCCTGTGGGCCGTAGTTTGAGGACCCCTGAGTTGGATTGTGAGAGTGTCAGCATTCCCTGGCCGGCAGGGAGTGTGTGCTGTGGGCCCTGACTACGCAGTAGTTTTCCCGCAACGTGAGGGAGTCTCTGACTGTCTGGCTGTATCCTAGGGGAGTTACAGGGATACAGGCTGGTGACATCCAGACAGTTGAGCAAGGGGATAAAGCTCCGAGGTGTCTCCACAGCCCCCCCCCCCCCCCCCCCCCCCCCCCCCCCCCCCCCCCCCCCCCCCCCCCCCCCCCCCCAGTCCCCACCTGTGTCAGCCTCCCTCCAGCCTGCATCTCCTCTCATCTAGCCAGGTCCCAGCTGCTCCTGTCTAGAGGAGACCAGCCTTGCTCCATGTACTCCTGGCCCGGTCGGGCTCCTGGTCCTGCCTCTTGAAGGAAATTTGGGCCTGGCGGTGTCCCTGAGAGGTCCGACTGTCTCCTTGACAAGCTTACCTCACTTCTGCACCCCCCTCACTCCCAAGCCCCTGCATGCCTCACATCCCCCTCTCTCACCTCAGTTCCCGGCCCAGCACCTCTCTTCTGGAGCAGGACATCGTCCTTCTCTTTCCACATTAGGGACTGTCCCTCTCACTTCTGCACCTGCCCTTCTCCAGGAAAATTTGCACTTTACAGCTCACGTAGTTTACTTGCTCTGGCCCTGGCCAGGCCAGGCATTCCAGCAAGTCCACAGGGACCTGGGGGAGAAAATAGGTTTGCAGCACCATGTTCCAGCCAAGCTACCGGGGGCGGGGAGGTGTGGTGTGCTTCATGGGGACAGGCGCTCCTCACGCAGCACATCTCGGTCTCACCTGCCTGCGACAGGAAGGGTGACTCTTCCAGGTGCTGCATGACCAGGGGACTTGGCATGATTCCCCGGCCGCCTTCTGCCCACTCCTGACCCTCAGCCTCTGAAGACGTCATCAGCAGAGTTGATGACTACACGATTTGAACCTACACAATTTGTAGCACACATTCTCCCAGCCATCCGATATTTTCACCGACTCATCCTTTAGTTTGTGTTTCTGTCACCAATGACTGTTCGCTGTGAGTTCGGTAAATGCGAGATGGCCTTCAGTGGCCATGCTCACAGACGCCTGGAGAGACCAGGCCAACCACAGGGAGCAGCATCCCTCACCAGTGCCCCAGTGTTTGGCTGGGGGCCGTGGAGGGGAACAGGACACAGCTCCATCCCAGGGAGGCATCTCATTGCTTACACTGAAGGGAAATAGGTACATAGGTCATTGAAATGCAGAGTGAGCAGGGCTCTAAGGAAGGCCCAGGTGGGGAGGGGATGCTGACAGCCCAAACCAGGACCCCATCCTGGGGAGGCAGTGAGCCTGTGTGTGTGAGGATGGTCAGTCTAGCTGAGGGGCTGTGTGCAAAAGCCACCAGAAGCTTGGTTTCCCCTCTCCGGAACAGAGTGCAGATTTCTGTTCAGGGGTTGCTGGGAGGGGAGCCTGGGAGTGGGAGGGAGACAGGAGCCAGATCCTGGAGACCTTGAGGCCAGGTTGGGGCGTGGGATGATTCTGCAAGCTTCCAGAGGCATAGGAGGGTTTTATTTGGGCCAGCAATATGGTCAGGTGTGTGTTTTAGGAAGATCACTCGCTGGCTTACAGTGGAGGATAGATCAAAGGTGGCAAGCTTTGAGACAGAGCACCCAGTGTGGGCGGAGGCCGCCTGTCATCCAGGCTCGACCTGAAGGAGGCCTAGACCTGTTACAGGCTGATCTGCAGGAGGCCTAGACCTGCTAGAGGCCGATCAGCAGGAGGCCTGGACCTGCTAGAGGCAGCACAGCAGGAGGCCTAGACCTGCTAGAGGCCGATCAGCAGGAGGCCTATGCCTGCTAGAGGCCGATCAGCAGGAGGCCTATGCCTGCTAGAGGCCGATCTGAAGGAGGCCTATGCCTGCTAGAGGCCGAGGCGGGGGTGGGGAGAGGTGCTTGGAAGGAGGACGGCAGCCAGGTCTGGGTGGTGGGAGCGTGTCAGGGCAGGCAAGGGGGCGGGTGGAGTGGAACATAGGAGTGGGCTCAGTGAGTCCAGAAGAATCCACACTTGATGTGTCTGGTGGAGCCCAGGGGAGCTTTGGAGTTTGGAGCAGGAGAGTGACATGAGAAGGGCCGTGTACTGGAGAGGCGGCCACACAGGGCTGAGGAGTGGCTGTCTGGCAGGCGGGTGAGAACTGCATGTGGACGGTGGAGGTGGATGCAGAACAGACAGAACAAGTCCAGGAGCTTGTGTCCAAACCAGCAGGACCTGGTCAGTCTATGAGTTCTGAGAAGTAAGAGCAGTTACATGGGCAGGGTCTTGACCCTTGGGGATCAGAAAAATGGGGGTGTCATGGGCATGGCAGGGGACTTGAAATGAGGAGGCACTGGGGAATGAAAAACCATGGAAGGCGAGTGTGGTCTAGGGCATGGGGTCAAGTGACCAGACATCGGGTGGGCAGCTGGAGACTCTGGAGCCTTGGATGGGAGATAGGGGGTGAGAGGGGCCCACAGAGGTGCTGGAGGAAGCCTCACCCCCAGAGGGCAGGAGTGAGCAGATGTTGGTAATTTTCACCTGGGGCCAGGGGGCGGGGGAGGGGCCAGAAGAGTCTCAGGACCACTGGAGGGGTGGGGAGGCCACTGAAGGACAGCAGGATGAGGAGGGCCGAGGCTGAAAGGCTCCCGATGGGAGAATTCCAAGAGCGAGCCTGGCATGGGCAGTGGGCAGTAGGCAGTGGGCAGTGGGCTGTGGGCTGGGGAGAGAGCAGGCAGAGGCTGACCGCCGGGAGCAGCTGGGCCTCTCAGAGCAGGCAGGCCTGGAGGAGAACCCAGATCAGGGCAAGGTCCAGGCCCCACACAGGCTCCAGGACCCTCCTTGTCCACAGCGAGGCTCTGGCCCCCTCCCTGCTTCTCTCCCACCTCCTCAACAGGTTTGAACTTGTTTCTCAAAGCGCCTTCCCTCTCTCCCGGGCCACTGTCTCCTGTGTGAATATGGAGCTCCCTCCTCACCTCACTTTTCTGGTCCCACAAAGTCTCCTGTTACCTCCCGCTTTTCCTCAGGGACCCCTGCCCAGGGCCCCCTCCCTCCCCAGGAACCTCGTGAAGGAGGTTCCAGCTCACGGTCTAGCTCACAGTATGACTGCTGGCACCCAGCGCATTGCCTGGAACATGGCAGATGCTCAATAAATACTTGATGACTGACTGGATGGATTTCACGCTCTTAGCAACCCTATCCTTATTGGCAGGTGAGGAGCCTGGGGCTCAGAGAAGCCCAATAATTTGCCCAAGGTCACGCCGTCTCTGGCGACAGGTAGGGTTCTGACTCAGGTGCCCAGCGCTGCAGGGCCACCAGGAGCACCTTCCCCGTGTGCGCCGAGGACCGGCAGGCGTCCCCTGAGTTTGAGGAGAGTCGGAGGGGTTTTCCTGCAGGTGGGGGCACAGGTGTGGAGGAGACCACCTGGAGAGGAGAGGGGCCTGACTGCCAGGCAGGTGAAAGGAGCTGAGACAAAAGCATCTGCTTCCCTCCCCAGGAGCGGCTCCTGCTATCTGTCCTTCCCCGGCATGTTGCCATGGAGATGAAAGCAGACATCAACGCCAAGCAGGAGGATATGATGTTCCATAAGATTTACATCCAGAAGCATGACAACGTGAGGTAGGAGTGAGGCTGGGGGCAAGGGCAGGTGGAAAGACAGAGCCCTAACGGAGGCGATGGGTGTTCCCACTCTTCCCTCAAGGGGGCACAGCCCACCAGGGTGGTCTGGTGGCTTTGGAATGTGTGGACCCCCCTCTAGATCTGATTTTTTTGAGGGGGGCAGAGGTGAGGCGGCAGAGAGAGGAGATAGGAAGAAGGAAAAGGGGGAAAGCGATACCACCAGCTGTTGGGGAAACTGCTAGCCTAACAAGGGAGAGAGAGTACAGGTGTCTCCACCATCGTCTCAATCTTCATCACCATCCGGCAGCTTCCATAGCTTCTAAGCCAGTGTGTGCCAGGCACGGTGCCAGCGCTGCCACCTCATTGCTAATCCTCCTGACAGCCTGCAAGGTGGGACCCTTATCAGCATCCCCGGTTTAAAGACCGAGCTCAGAATGACGAAGACCCTTGCCCAAGGTCACTCAGCCAGGAGTGATGAAGCCAGTGCACCCAGGCTGGCCCAACCCAAAGCCCATGCCCCTTCCATTGCTGGGTTGCTCTTCCCTGGACAGATGCTGCTGACAGCAGTGATGTGCAAACAGATGCAGATTAATAGCGTGCAAAATCTGCTTACGACTTCCACGGGGACCTGATGCACTACCGTGGCCTCCGTCCAGCATGGCTGATAATCCTCCCCTATGCCCAGGAAAGGAGCTCTCTGCCTGGAGAGTTACGTTCTCCCTGGGCAGGTTTTCCCAGGACCCATGAGCCCTCTAAGGTTGGCGTAGAGAGAGCCCTTTGTCAGCGTGGGCTGCATGGTCAATAAAGGGGTTAAATGGAATTACCTGAGTCACACACATCCACACACGCGTCCACGGTGAGGCAAGGACCTGTGTTTTCCTGCCGAGCAGGCAGAATCGCCGCGTTCCCTAGTGTCTGACTGTCATGTCTGTCTGCATGTCCTCTGTCCATCTCTCCAACAGACTTGAAGCTTTTGGGAGAAAAATGTACCTGCACAACACTTTTGCTCCCAGTTTTGGGGTATCCCAACTCCCCTGAGGCCCACCCACACCCCACTGTCAGGAGGAAGGCTGCCCTGCCGGGTCTCCATGCCCAGGAGCTGTCCTCGGGCTGGGGGCTCAGCTGACAGCTCAGAGAGGGATGTGGGGCCCGGCCTTGGTAGGCAGCTCTGACTGTTGTTTCCTTTTCTCCTCCTCACGCCCGCCTCTATCCTCCTGCGGTGGAATAATCGATACCAGTAGTTAATATTGTAGAGAGATTTCTGTAGCCCATGCATTATTCTAAGTGCTTTCATATATTCACTTAGTCCCCACAATAAATATAAGGGGTTGGTACTATTATTATCTCCATTTTACAAGTAAGGAAACAGACACAGAGATGAACTTGTCTAAGATCTCATAGCTGGATAAGTGGGAGAATTGGTCTCAGAAAGCTTTTGATACGAGGTTTTACACAGCCTGATTCCTGGACAGGTGTTTTCAGATGCCTAGGAGAGAGGAGTTCATATGAGATTGTGTGGGGAAAAATCATGGGGAGCTCCCAGGCCAAGAGGAGATGCCGAGAAGAGAGGTTTGGCTTCCAGCATGTGTGTGTGTGCGGGTGTGTCTGTGTGTGGTGTGCATGCGTATGTGCATATATGTGTGTGGTATACATGTGTGAGCATCTCCCTGTGTGCCTGTGTGTGCGTGCACATGGGTGTGTCGTGTGCATGTATGTGCACGTGCATGTGTGTGCTGGTGTGTATGGTGTGCATATGTGTGTGCACATGTGTATGGTGTGTATGTGCATGCCTCTGTGTGCCTATGTGTATGGTGTGCATGTGTATGTGTGCACATGTGTGTGCGGTGTGCCTGTGTGTGCGCGCACCTGTGTGTATGGTGTGTGTGCATGTGTGTATGGTGTGCATGTGTGTGCGTGCGCATCTATGTGTATGGTGTGCATGTGCGTGCCTCTGTGTGTGTGTGCCTGTGTGTGTGTGGTGTGTGCAGGACTGAGGACCCACCGGGGACCTTTCCTGTCTGACGGCAATCCCTAAAGCCTGGGGGACTCCACTTGTGACATGTAAGAAACAGCCTTCCCTTTTAGAACAAATCCCATGGTTCAGGTGGGAAGGGGCAACCTGCCAAGCAGTCCCAACACATTTGAAGCCCTGAGCTCCCCCTTCCAGAATTTTCTCTTTGGTCCCACCTTCAAATCCCCTCACTGTCCCTGGTGTTTTTCTGGGCAGAGCATGGACGAAAGGTGCTTCCCTTGATTGCTCTTAGCACAGCGGAGCTTTCAACAGATTTCATTAACATATCAAGTGGAGCCCTAGCTGGTTTGGCTCAGTGGATAGAGCGTCGGCCTGCGGACTGAAGGGTCCCGGGTTTGATTCCGGTCAAGGGCACATGCCTGGGTTGCAGCTCAGTCCCCAGTAGGGGGTGTGCAGGAGGTAGCCAATCAATGATTCTCTCATCATTGATGTTTCTATTTCTCCCTCTCTCTTCCTCTTTGAAATCAATAATCACACACACACACACACACACATACACACAGGGAACTGGCTCAGAAACAGTCCATCATCCAAGGCAAAGGCTCATGGCCGGGCTTGGCTAACACATCTGGCACACCTGCCCCCTCTGCCTCT